GTAGGTAGGTAGGTAGGTAGGTAGGTAGGTAGGTAGGTAGGTAGGTAGGTAGGTAGGTAGGTAGGTAGGTAGGTAGGTAGGTAGGTAGGTAGGTAGGTAGGTAGGTAGGTAGGTAGGTAGGTAGGTAGGTAGGTAGGTAGGTAGGTAGGTAGGTAGGTAGGTAGGTAGGTAGGTAGGTAGGTAGGTAGGTAGGTAGGTAGGTAGGTAGGTAGGTAGGTAGGTAGGTAGGTAGGTAGGTAGGTAGGTAGGTAGGTAGGTAGGTAGGTAGGTAGGTAGGTAGGTAGGTAGGTAGGTAGGTAGGTAGGTAGGTAGGTAGGTAGGTAGGTAGGTAGGTAGGTAGGTAGGTGAAGGAGGTTGTTTCTCTCAGGTTCCTCCCATTTGTGCCGGCTGATTGTTTTCTGTTGTTGTTGTTGTGGCTGTTGCTGTTGGCCAGGAATCTTCATCATCCCTGTTTTACCTATGTTCACCTGAAGAAAGTCCTGTCTTCGATGCTTCTTCTGCCAGCTTGTTGCTTTTCACTTGCATATCTTCCAGTTTGTGGGAAATCAGACATATATATCACATCGGCGAAGTCCAGATCCTCCAAGTATTTTTTGGTGTGTCCATTTTATGGCTGTTTCCTCATTGCCCGTTGTCTGTCAGATTATCCAATCTACTGCAATCAGGAAGATCATTGACGACAGTAGACAGCCTTGCCTCCCGTCCTCACTTCGAAGGCTTCTGTAAGTTTCTCGTTGTGAGATACTTGGCATACAGGCACCATTGTCGTACAACTGTTGGATGGCTGAGGTGTATAATTGTCGGTGGTACCTCTTGTTAGCAGCGAAGTAGTTTCCAAATCACCTGTCGATTGACGCTGTGCTGTCAAAGGTGTTTTCAAAATCGATGAAGTTGAGATAGAGAATTGGCTGCTATTCCAAGCTTTGTTCCATGATGTTCCGTAGTGTGGTGTTTTGATTGATATATGTCTTGTTTCTCCTGAATCCAGGCTGTTCCGGTTGAAGTTTTTTATCTAGGTTTGCTTCTTTCATTCTCTCTCCAGGACTCCTTGTGGTGACAATCAATCAATATCTACATATCAGCAGGTGTTGAAAATCAACCATGGAAGTTTTTATAAAACAGTTAAAGGGTCAAGATAATTGCAAACAAGATATAAGCGGATTATTACACAACACATAATTTTTCAAGAGTAAAAGCAGTAATTAATTAAGAAATATATGTGTGTTCAAGTTGGTCACACGATAGGCACTTGAAGATAATCCAGTCAAGACAGTAAAATAATTAAGGCAAAATGATGATAACCTGTAAAAGACTGAGGATTGACGGGCTGGAGGGCATAAGATGGAAATTGTCAGTTTTTAACAATCAAGTAACACAGTTGCCAAGGTAAGGAAGGATAGAGGCTTCACAGATTTCTTGTCACCACATAGTTCTGGTTTGTTCAGAGGGATTCTAAGTAGATGAGGATGTAATTGGAAAGTAAATAAATTTCTTCGTTCGTTCAATCCAACTGTCTTTTATAAGTCTAAATGGGGATTTTTTGTGTTATATTATCAAAGAATTCAGTACTTTTCAGTTGTCTTTCATTATTTCCTTTGCGTTCCAACTAGGCTTTAAGCTTCAATTTTCCGTAGCACTGACGTTTTAGCGATCTCCAGTAAAATATTCTGCCTGACACTTTACATTGAAAAGTTAAGGCACTCGGGTATAACTCAACCCCTCCTCCTCTTACAGTTCATAAACTCTTGCATCCTACCTATTCTGCTTTATTCTTCACCCCTGCTTATTCTTTCCTGGTTTGCTTAAAATGCACTATGTCACAATTCGTAGAATGCTGAAGACTGTCAGACAGTAAGGCGAGTGGTTTCCCAGTGGACCACATAGTTAGTGTCGTTGTCAATAGGCACTCGACTTCGTGCAATAAAATTCCAGAGGGATTTTGTCTGACTTGGGGCATCCACTTTACCCTCAGCTTTCACCTTGCATCTCCTCAGGTAGAACAAGAAGTAACTTCAGAAAACTGTATGCTCGCACGTCCAAGTATAGAAATTCTATGATACCATACTTGGCACGTATTTTATGTAATGAAAATAGTGTCAGACAAGAATTAACTAACCTTTTTTCATCTAGTAAATAAACAATTTCCTCCATCTATCCACCTTTATATATACCTTCAAGTTTTACTTTTATTATTTCTATTATATTTATGGTCCCGTTGCTTCTTTGTTTTACTCTCATAATTGCAAGCACCAACTTATCTCTACGACTGCTGTAATCCTTGTTTTTCCCCTCACCATATCATGTAAAGAGAGCATTATATTCAATATTTTTAAACATGTTAGGATTTCCATACCGCATACACCGACAATACTGTGTGAAACAAGCCCACGGCAATCTTCACTTGTATTATTATTATTATTATTACCCTAGCTGTTATCATTATTATTGCTATTTCCATTTTATATGCTGCATGTTTTTTACATTACCCACCCCTATTGTAAATGTGGAGAATTTTCTGTGTGATTAATTTTATTTATAATTTGAGGAAATTAGATGCGATATTGCGATAAATGCTGAAAATTCCATTCTGTATCACAAGTACTGTTTTTGCAATAAAATAAATCATTATTATTCGATTATTTTTACAAGATGGAGTTGCTTGACTCAACACTTAACCCTCACTCTTTCTCAGATTTAATATGGGATAGGTAAGTAGACGAGGTTTAGACGTGGATTGGCTGGGCGTCGAACATTAACCTCCCTCATGGCTGGCGAGCTCACCGCCACTGAATTAGTGAAGATCTTACAGTTCTCTCACTAGTATTACTTAGATTTACATTTTTGTTACGGGTGTGTGCAGTCTGCAGCATAACAATTTTCTATGCTCAGAATGCACCGCGATACCAAGCCACCTAGCATGTTGGTCACTGGTTCTCTCTCTCTCTCTCTGAGTACATTGTAAATAGAGGCTACACACGACCTGTAGAAGCAATTGCCGAAAACAATATGATGATATCCTCAAAGATCAGTCCAAATTTCTGATGGACAATGCTACTGATAATGTGCTGCTTGTGGAAAAGCAGATCAATCGTCAGCTTCAAATTTTACTGATACATGGTTTCATGAATGAAAAACTTTATAAACAACTTAAAGCAATTGAGTCACATACTCCTCAGCTTTATGGCCTTCCGAAGATCCACAAAACTGGGAACCCACTGAAACCCATCTTAGACATGTCGAATTCTCCATACCATAAAATCGCCAAATGGATTACACAGGTCCTTACGCCTGTAAGAGACTCATTATCAAATCATTCTGTAAAAATTCATTTGATCTTACAGATCTTTGATCTTCCTGGATATTGCTATGACTAGGAGAGATGATAGAATGATCCATAGATCTATTTTTCGTAAACAGACATGGAGTGAACAATATCTTCGTTTTATCAGCTTTGTTCCTATCCAGTATAAACATTCCCTAGTGAAATGTTTGTTATCAAGAACCTGAAAAATATGCACGAGTGACACAGTGATGGGTGAGTTTCGAAATATACATTCAATTTTATTAGCGAATGGTTATCCCGAAAACTGTGTCACTTGTTACAGTAAAGAAAGACCACATCTTGAAAAGACAGCTTCTGTACCGAAGAAAGCTATCTTTATTAACTTATCACTCAAGAGTGGTGGGTCAGACTATGCATCTGACAGCTCAGAGACTTCGGTCGGCCATCAAACGCACATTCTACGCTGCGTCTCTTTTTCTCATTCTCCGAAGATTTTCGGTCCCTCTACCTACGATTAAAGCATTAAATTCTGTGGACTCTACTTCAAACTGTATCGACAAGTTCACCTGCAGTTGTGATGACACCTGTATAGGTAGAACCAATAGAATATTTCAATGTCGCGGTCGAAAAGAACATGGACTAACTACTTGGCCTATTTAAATATGGTTGGTCATTAGTATGTACTTTTGTTTTTTAACTAACTGAGTAATTGTCATGATCTTTATTTTATTTTATTATTGTTAACCATGTTAGTTGTAAAACGGTTGTAAAGAAACTACGAAATGACGATATCATCTCGCGAAATTTGTCTTCTTAATGCCTTATTCAAAACAAATCTGCCAAAAAAGGTTCCACATCTTTATTTCAGTTTGAACTTCAGCGTTCACTGATTGGATTAAAGTGTTGGGCTCATTGTGGGGATGCCTCGTCTGTATCTGAGAATTTAACTCAAAGTAATTTGGCTCTCGTGGCCCAAGTGATCTGGTGGATAACGCTTCAGTATTCAAAACGGTGGGTACTGACGTTCAGATATGATAGAGAAGATTTGTAGCTCAGGTGGATGATTTTGATGTGGTTTTGTTCTCTGAGCAAACTAACCATCCAGCTCAGAGAACAAAACCACATCAGAAAAAGTACTGACGTTCGAACCTCAGTGGGGAACACCATCACACACACACACACACTGGGAAATGCAGGCAGTATCCATCTGACGAGTTAGTTCCAAAATAGGACGAAATACACATCCTGAATTCCAAATGCTAGTCCACCATCCACCAACCAAATTCCTTAATTTTCAAATTCCAACAGTTGCATTTCTCTTCAGTTATTTTCCCTGTAGTCAAAAAGAGAACTCAAGCAAAATATAAATGTGAAGGTAAAACTCAACTTAAGTTCTCACTTTTCTATTTTTTTCAGGAACTAACAATTTCTGATTGTATTGTGTCTGTAAGTGGACACTACGTCAACGCCTAATGGATGAGTTTCTTATAACAGCAGAAAAAAAAGCAGTAGTTTTATTATGCCCAACTCAACTGGGAACACATCTGATTGGTTAGAAGGTATTAGGTCATTAAACTTCCTGCTTTAAAACAGTCTATACTACAATCACTACATAGGATAGAATTATCAGCCAATCATGAGTTAGATAGAATATTTCTTTTTTATCCGACAATATATATCAGTCGAATGGGCGAATCAAGAAAGCATTACGTCTATATTATGGACTAGTTTCATTATATACAAATATATGTATTCATATTTGTTAGCTTGTCAGCGTGCATTAGCATGTGCTTCTGTATATATGTATATCTTTGATATAGGCATATATATTTATATACATGTATTTGTGTGTGTTTGTGTGTGTTAGCGCACTAATGCCTATGATTTTAGTGCGTATAATTTTTGTATTTCAGTAGATTACTAATAACTAAACAACGTTCTCATTTCTTGTGGAATATTTATAAATTTTGCAACACACCCTTTTTCACTCATTGTCACGCTATATGCGCAATGCTGTGCATATTTAGCAAGATAAAAAAAGATGCACACCAAAACTACCCAGTGATGGAACAAATTTTTATTTGAAGAATATGTCATTCAGAGTTAAATATACTTAAATATGTCCATCATATTGAGTGGAAGTGTAAATTTCATTATTATTATTCTAATTTTGTCGACTTCTACTCCGCATTATAAATTTCTACGCGTGTCAAACTGACGACCAGGAAGAAACACATCAACTCTGGATTTATATAACCACAATTCTGCATATCCTGTCATACATACACCAAAAACAAAACAAAACAAAAGCAAAAAAAGCATCACTGAATGATTTAGTGCATAACATTCCAATTATACATCATTTTTTGTAAATTCAACAAAACGAAATTAAAACCGGTAAGTATGGTGATGATTGTGATGACTATTGCATTATTAATTGATTTGTGTTTAATCAAAATTCTTGACTGACAGTACTTTTTGTGAACACGTGCTGAAGATCTGTATGTCTAACCATTTATTGTGTCACATTGCTTTATTCTCCTAATCTACAACCCGTAAATTGACTAGGTGTTTTTTTCTCTCTCTCTCTCCTACACATTCCCGATGGAACATAGGGCGCCTTCAAGCTAGAGGCTTAAAGTTTCGCTAACAGTGGTATTTATTATTTTTTTTTACGGGATTAGGCTGCTAGCCTCGTGGTCAGCCTTCCTTCTTTACCAGTCTTATTACTGGCTTAGCGAACGAGGTGAAGGAGGAGTGCGTCGGTGGCTGGATAACGGAATCCGGAAACACCTGCATGGTTGGAGAGCATTCTACTGCTGTACCAGCGACGTGGAAAACTACACTGCCAGGTTTCGAACCCAGGACCATGCAGTTACAATGCAAGCTTGTAGACTATTCAGTCAGTGGGACTGGATATTTGTCATACGCAAACTGATAAAATAACCGCACGTGGTCTGTGGAATACTTACGGAAAGAGTTATTCAGACTACTGTCATTATAATAAATCGATTTAATTAGAATTTCTAAATACTCGCCTCTGTCACTCATATCAGCATATAATTTGTCAGTTTAATCCCACCCCCCAACTCCCCCCCAACCGGCTCCCCAACTTGTATGATTAGTATTCTAATACCTTCTTTATGCTAATCACTGAAATTCTTTACCGTTGGTATATCTCTGTAAACGATGATGATGGTAAGGCATTTGAAAAATAAATCATGAAAAGCTTATATACTTTGATTCTTGAGGAGAAACAAAAAGCGAAATTCGTGTCACAAAATGTATACCCAAGTTTCCATACTTCAGCAATATCACTTTTCAAAAGAATGGATACTGAACAAAGAGTACTCTTTACGATAAATTCATCATCAGGCTCTACAGTTATATATCCATCCAGTATAGTGAATGAATGAATGAATTAGTGTTGTGGACAACAACACTAATGTTGCTGTTTAAATAACATTGAATCAATAATAATAATAATACCAGTGGATTACAGTTCAATAGCATCAACATAAAATAGGCTGAATGCCAGAAAAATTACAAATTCATGAATTTATAGTCTCTACCGAAGGCCAGCCAGGCAGAAGTAGGGGCTGGACTTGCTTCCTCAGCACACAGAGTACTGGTTGTTTGAGGCGAATTGCAATAGCCTCTGCTGTTTGGAGCATTTGGCGCTTAGATAATGATTTTAGAAATTAATTAAACTTCCAGTAGATGATGATAGAGAAGGATACTTCCACGCTGGCTGGCTTTTTGGCCGGCCGGTTTGCACCAGATGGTCCAATATCCAACTGTTCATGATGGTTTTCACTACACCTTTACTTAGCCATAGTGGGAGATGTTCTCGAGCGAGTACGAAAAATCAAGTTCCCAGAGTGACAACCAATATAACTCGCTCCACAACAAGCGCAGGTGAATCGGTAGATACAATTAGAAGTGGCTAGTCTAGGTACTTCATCTTCCAGTCGAGGTAGCACCATCGGTCGTTTACAGAATAAGACGTGTAGTTCGCCGCCAGCATTAGAAGTTCTTTGAACTGATTTTCTTAATTTCCTTGTAATTGTCTCACTTTTATATCGCCCTTGAATTGCAGTCGTATATAAAGTGGCTTCTTATTAACAGATAGTGAGTAGTCGTTTTCCGCCGCTTTCTTTGTCATGTGTTTCTGGATAAATTTTTCGGGATAGCCGTTTTCCATCAAAGTATCATATACAATGCTTACTTAATTCATCTCCAATTACTCCTTCTGAGCATATAGCTCTAACTCTGTGAATGAGGGTCTTCGCTAAATTTATTTTGTACTGGAGAGGAATGAAGCTGTGAAAATGTGTGTGTATACTGTCCTGTCCAAGTGCTTTTTCTATGTAAATTTCTTTTTATGCTACCATCTGAACATCCAGGAAGGCAATTCTGTCTAGAGATTCCTCTTCACATGTGAATTTCATAACCGAATGTACTTCATTGAATTCAGTAATTATTGTACTAAGGTATCATCCATATATCGGCATATCACTTTTGCTTTTATGCCTTCATGAAAAAGTGTCTTTTGTAAGCTAAGCCGTTTTGTTTTCTAGTGAGTTAATTGTCCTAATATATAAGCACTTTTTATTATTATTGCTCTCTTGGGTTCCTAGTGGAACATAGGGCTTCAACTCCACGTCTCCACTTGCTTCTGTCCTCCTTCTGCTGTACTTTTCACCTGCATCCAAGTTAGTCCATACTGTTTCAACTCCTCTTCACACCATCTCCTCCTCCATGTCACCCTTGCACTGACGTGCCACTCACCGCATGCTTCCCTTTCGGCTTCCACTCGAGCAATTGCCTGACGCGCGTGTGGTGTCACCAAGCGGCGGACTCCTCAGCGAGTGTCCAGTCCATCTTCACTTTCTCCTGCATATTTGTTGGACGATTGTTTTGTTTCTTCCTATAGTTTCTTGTTGGTGATTCTTTCCGGCCCCCGGCCATCTGATCTTCAGTATAGAGCGAAGACAATTATTAATAAAGGTCTGCAACCTTTGGAAATATTCTTTGTGACCTACTCTCCAAGTTTCTCATCCGTATAGAAGAACTGACTGACTTGTATTGGAAATCCGACCGGATTTCGCTGTTGATGCTGAGTGACGAAGATTTCCAGATTGTTTTCAAGTTAATGATCCTCGATTTGACATCCTTGTGCGTTCCGACTGTCTGTAGCTGAGACAGACATAATCATATCAAGTCACTCAATCACTCACACAACTTTCTTCTTTCCTTCATTTATATACATGAGTGGAATTCATGATTAGACATTTGAATACAAATCAACCAATATGGGATAACGTACATTCAGAAATAACAATGATAATAATATCAATATGAGTGTTATGGGTGATCGATTACAATAATCAGATGGGAAATAAGACGAGTGTTTTTGTTTTTTAGTCAAAATACGTGAGTAACTTGTTAGAATGTTGTGATGATGTACGTGAATTGAATTGAAATAGAATACAATTTGAGATTATTTATTATCCTCCTCTGTTTTCACTGACTGCGTCGGTGGCACAGTGGTTAGGACTCTCGCCGACCATGCACATGGTCCGGGTTCGAGCCCACGCCGGCGCATACCTGATATCTATGGTCGGCCTGCAAAATTTTGGCTACCGATATCCATGCTGAAAATTCCATACTTGTACCAAAAATGCAGTGTGGAATCAAGCTGTAAATCAAAAAATAAATAAAAAGACTGACTGACTGGTGGTGGTAATAATATCTTGCACATATATCTATAGTATTTCCATTGAGTCATTTCTGTGTTGTGTTGGGTGTGTACACTCGATGTACCAGACAGGATTCAGTAATCAATCTCTCTCTCTCTCCACCTACTGATATTACTTTTTAGAATTTCGACTCTGTCCCGCCCACCCTAATGTGTGCAGTGCGATTGCTAAGCTTTCTTCTAAATTACTTATCTTTCAGGGTCAACCATTCTTAACTTAGCTAAATTCTTATGTTCCAACAATCTGCCTACTCCCAACCTACTAGTTTGACCTATGTAGTTGACTTAGCTCAGTCATTGCAAAGTATTTTGTGAATGGTATTGTTTGGTCTAACTGGGTCAACCAACCTACGGTGTCCTTTAATTTACAGAAATTGGCATACCTAAATGAGAGAGTGTGTGTTCGAGAGTGTGTAACCACGAATGCAGAATTAATTCCAGAGTCCGAATTTTCGTTCACTTCTGTCTAGGTATTGATCCTCAAAATGATTAAAAAATTATACCAGTTGGCATTTCAATTTATTCATTCAGATTTGACATCATATCATAGTAAAAGAAGTTTGGCATTTTACAGTACTACAAGCCAGTAAAGTGATACAACTGTAGTACTGCTGAAGGTATCATCAAAATAAAATCACATCCATAATGGAGTTATACTTGGCTACCACAGTGCCTAAGTTTTATGCTTATATCGACTGAATCATCAGTCCACCCAAGTCTTGTTCATGTCGGAAACTAAAATCGGCATCATAACACTTAGATGAAGTTAGTTTAAGGCCATTTGAATGGGACCATTGGTTAACCTCAGATAAGAAACTATTCATATCAGAGACAGAATTCAGAAACCTTGTGGGACAGAAATCGTCAGATCAACAACACATTTAATGGAATTGTCTTTAGAAGAATACGGTACTTCATGCAGAGAGAAGTGCTTCTGCTTCATTTATAAGCAAACTGCTTCAGGTCACTGAAAGTTGTTAAAGAAGGTTTAAGAACAAGCTGTCAAGTAGTTTCTACATAATTTTCGAAAATGGGGACGTGATGCCGATTGACCTAGTCTTTAAAGCTGATCCCAAAGATGCTTTCGCTCCAAGCAACAAGTGTTGACTGCATCACTGTGTAAAATGATACACACTATAGATTTGTGTGTTAGAGCATGCCACAAGATATCTGCACTCTTTCGAAGTAAAAAGGCCGCATACTCTATTAAGACCTGAGCTGTGTGATGGCTTTAAAGATTTAAGACATGAAAATAAATGCGTAAGGCAAATAAATAAGCAGGTCTCAGTTTGTTGTTCTGTGAGATATATTTCGTTATTAGTAATTTATTATGTAACAATGATTTGTAAGTTGATGGCAAACACGGAATGTTTCATAAATATTTATTTTAATGAATCATAGGAGGATAATAAATAATCTCAAATTGTATTCTATTTCAATTCAATTCACGTACATCATCACAACATTCTGACAAGTTACTCACTTATTGTGACTATAAAACAAAAACACTCGTCTTATTCCCCATCTGATTATTGTAATTGATCACTCATAACACTCATATTATTATTATTATTATTATTATTTCTGAATGTACATTATCCCATATTACTGATTTGTATTCAAATGTCTAATCATC